ATAACGCCCCTAAACGGTGCAGTTTTGAGTGGGCAGAAAATTACAGCAGTGGGAGAAGTCGTCCACGCATTTAGGTTAACTTCTAGGGTGAGGACAGCACTTATAACTAAGTTAAACTCACTAGAAACCCTCTAGATGATGCAGGAAATGAAAGGACAGCAATCTACCACAAGGACCTAGGTTGCCTATGTGTTACGTGTGGGTTTTATAGTGTGGACAGCAATATAACACATTCTTAGACTCAAATTAAAGTGCTGGAATTTTCAGGACAGCAGGTTTTAAGGCTAGAGCTAAGCAACCTAATCAACTAGAGGTGTTGTAGTGACAAAGACAGTAATTATACAATGAAGGAAGCTTGCTTACAATGATGAAACCATGCATGAATTTTCTGGACAACAAAGTAAAACAGAAATTAAAACTATCCAAATGATGTTATGCATGCAAATGACTAAGGACAAGTCACATTAGATCCCTAGGATGCATCTAGCACATGTAAAGCATGCTAGCCATGCTCTGATACCAAGATGATGTGATACAACATGCAAAGAACAAGAATTGCCTTGGCGAAATTAATGAAAGCGATGAAATTTGTCTTGCTAATAAATAACCCTTTGCTTGATCAAGATTGAGTTAAGAATTTAACATTGAGAGATTTAGCAATGACAATAAATCACATGTAGAGATTACGGTAACTTGCAAAATAACAACTAAACATTTAAGTAATACAAATAGCTAGTGATAATAAAGCCTCAAATTTAAAATCTAGATCATTCACCTTGAGGTCCGTCACTCGTTTTGAAAGTGATGGCTAGCGGAGGAGAATCGTAAGTAGGCTTAGCGATTCTACTAGTAGACAAGTGATCTTGAGAGGACCCGTCGCCGGGAAATGAGCCGGAGTTGGAGGGGCGGGTGGACGGCCGTCGATGGTCCACTCGTAGTCTGGACTTTGTCTGTTGATGACGTGTATGAGAGTCGGGAGGATCCTGTCCAAGTAAGCTCCAACGGTGTCGTTGTCGGAATCAAATCCTGCGTCGAAGAATGGCGATTGTTGGACGTCGAGATTGCCGTGGGCATCGAATACTAGCCCCCATTCAAATTCCGGATCCGACATACATCCCTTTGCTTGTAGATGAGGGGGCAAGATGGAAGAACCTAGGAGAAGAGGTCTCGGGTGAGGGGAAGAGAGAGATCGGGTGGGCTAGGGTAGAGGAAATTTCAGAATTCTGGAATCTAATTCCAATTAGGTGGAGTGGGAAATTTAATTTGAAAAACAAATTAATTCCAAATTGGATGGGGGGAAGCTGGTTGTTCAAGAGGGTTAATGGAAATTGATTGAGAGCAATTAATAAAATAGAAGAGGAAAAAAAAACCAATCAAGGGGAGGCCGGCCACGTATAGAGAGGAAAGAGAGGGATTAAAATCAAATAAAAAAAAAAAGAGGGGATTTCAAGGCTTCGACGACTACGAATTTACTAGTTATCACTTGTTTCCACTTTGGACTTCCACAAGATTAGATTATTCGAAAACTAGAACTCACTAAGATATCTAGTTTTCTTCGGCGAACTCACTAAGAGATCGTGGGGAAATGAACTCACAAAGAGAACAAAAGCAAATTTCATTTCATCAAAAAAACTCTCTTACATTAGAAAAGGGCCATATAAATAGGCCTCAAAATGACAAAGAAATCAAAAGACTAAAATGGCCCTTGGGCTACAATAGCGACCAAATACCCATAAGGGCAAAAATGAAAAAAAACATAAAATAAAATAAACTACTACATAAAATGATGAAAATACAAATCATGATCGTGGCCGTCGATCTCCGGCGTCGGCGATGGTACACGTGTCAAAATCTGATGTCCCCATCAAGATGCTCTTTCCAGAGGTAGTAAAGACCCTCAGGTTATGACTCTATCTATTCCCATGTTGGTGGATTGGGAGGCCTTGAAACATGAGTGCGAGCAGGATGAGGAGCTGAGTAAGATCAGAGGGGACTTGCTGCAGGACAAGGATAGATCCTAGTTATTCTTTGATGGATCATAAGTTGCTCTACTAAGGACGATTTGTGCTTTCGATGAAATCGCCACACATCTCTCATTTGTTACAGGAGTTTCATGGCACATCTCTTAGGGGACATTTAGGAGTTCAAAAGACATCATAGACTAGCAACAGAGCTATACTGAGTGGGTATACAAAAGGATGTAGAGGAGTTGGTGGCTAATTGTGATGTGTGTCAGAGATACAAATACCTAGCTATGCTCCAGGTGGTCTTCTACAGCCATTAGCATTACTCGAGAAGGTATGGGAAGAGGTGACTATGAACTTCATTGAGAGACTACCTAGATCAGACGGATTTACTGTGAGTCTAGTGGCGGTGGATAAATTGAGAGAATATGCTCATTTCGTTCCCTTACGCCACCCTTACACCGCGGTGTCGGTGGCAGCCGCATTCATTAGAGAGGTGGTTCGTTTGCATGGCATACCCGAGTCCATTATGTCCGATCGGGATAAGATCTTTTTGATCCACTTCTGGATGAAGTTATTCAAGATGCAAGGGATTATCTTGAAGAATACATCTTACCACCCCAGACGGATGGTCAGACGGAGGTGGTGAATCGCAGTGTGGAGACTTATCTTCATTGTTTTGTATCAGATACACCAAAGATGTGGGACAAATTGTTATCCTAGGCAAAATATTGGTATAACACTTCATATCATACAACAGTCCAGACAATGTCATTTAAAATTCTATATGGGAGGGATCCACCTCATCAGATGCATTATGAGCGGGGCAACACACCAGAGTTATCAGTGGAGCAATACTCGGTAGAAAGAGACTGGATGTTGGCATAATTGAAGAAACATCTACAGAGAGTACAACAAATCATGAAGAAGCAGGTGGATGGATATAGGAGAGATGTGCAGGTTAAGGTTGGGGACATGGTTTATTTGAAAATCTGACCTTAAAGATAAGAGTACTTTGGATCAATGAAGGAATGAAAAGCTCTCCCCCTCTACTTTGGCCCCTACAAGGTAGTGGAACACATTGGCTCAGTAGCATATCGCCTACAATTGCCACCGACCTCAGCCATTCATCCCGTATTTCATGTATCGCAACTGAGACGAGCTATTGGAAACCACACACCCTCATCCGCACTATCAACCACACTGTCAGAGGATATGGATGTGATATTAGAACCATAGGAGGTGAAAGGGGTGTGCCATGGAGATAAGGGGATCAAGGAGGTGTTGATCCAGAAGGATTTATCATAATATGAGGCAACATGGGAGCTCTATAGTACTATTCAGAAGCAATTTCCCTTTTTCTACCACGAGGACAAGGTGACTTTTTGGGAGGGGATTATTGATGGCTTGATGCAGCTGGCAACAACAGTCCAGCTGCCCAGGTGGGGCCTAGGACCTCTTTTATCACCTATAGGAGATGAGGCTTTGGAAGGAAACTCTTTGGGAAAGGAGGGGACTCTTTGGGAAAGATGTAAGGGGCATTTATTAGGGGATTTGAGCTGTTTAAGAGAGGAGATTATGGTGAGTTGGGGTTTTTATGTTATGTTTTGAATTTCTACAACAGTTTTTGTGAGGTTTTGGGTTCCTAGTAGTTGTAAGGAATTGTGGGAGAGACGATTCCCCTCTCGAACAATGAATCAACTTGTATCTTGTCTTGCTTTGTTTGGAAATTAGTAAAAGCAGCTCTATTTGTGTTATTTCTAGATCTATTTGGAGTAATTTATTGTTTTTTATATTGTTATGTGTTGTTTTGATCATCAAGTCCTATCGGCATCATAAACAACATTGCATTATATTGCTGTTTTCCAGTTGTCTAAATTTGACCTAACATACAAAAATCATGAATCCTTTCTGCTACTTTTAGAAACACCCATTATAGAAACCTTTGATGTAATTTATGCATGCTCAGTTAATCTTAGAAGGGCAGGAAACTTCTGATGGTCCTATTACAATGGATAAACTTGAAGTTGTGAAGCGGGGCTTCCTTCTTTTATGGTTTTCTCCTGTTCCCGTGCCTTCTCTTGTCATTTCTTCCAGTTTTTCATTGTTAATTGTGATGGTTCTCGGACCGTAGCATCTTGGTTTGCTATTTATGCATTTGGTTTGGCTTTCGGATGTTCACCTTTTTGTTTTTTTTTTTTTTTACGCTTCTTGTAAGCTCCTTTATCCTCCACTTCTTGCAGCTCATTTATTTCTTATATTACGGTTCATCTGTTTTAGCTAGTAGCTCTTGTTGTGGGTGTGACAGGACTCGAAGTTTTTGTGTTATTGTAGCTAACGCTCGAAACTCCGAGGTTGCTTTATCAGACAATGTTGCCACTCCCTAATGATTATAAATATGAACAAAAATATACAAATAAAGTCTGTCGATATGCAAAACCTTCTCTTTCCGAAATTTAGTTTATTTGTTAAGGGTGAGATTTGAAAATTTTAGGAGAGGCTATTTCCTTCTTCAAGCACAAGGTTTATTTTTCAATTTCATCTTCAACTTTTTTTTCCCCTTTACTCCTAATTTTTTTTCATTATTGATTTTGAAAATTTCAAATTTATTATAAATTGAATTTTTTTTCATGAAATTTTAAGCGGGTTTTGTGTTTCTTAACATTCTCTTTGTAGTTTCTAGTAGGAGAAAACTCTTTCATCTTAATGGAACTTTTATATTTTCTGTTTTTATTAGGGGTGGCAAATAATTGTTTTATGAGTAATAGCTTGTTTTCAGCAAAAAATTCATGCTTGCAGATTAATTTGTATTGAATGCTACAAATCCTAGATCATAGAATATCCTAAACTAGATTTATTATCAGACTAATATTGCAATGTCTTTTAGCTGTAGGACTTAATATTAATATCAATATTCATGCTTTTCAACCATATAGAAAGAACACTACTAGAAGGTTTTTCACTAGAAAGCTATCAGGATCTATTTATAGGTTCCTTGTTATATTTCCATTATAATCGTTTAATTCTACAATGCAGGCTGCACAAGATGGATCTTTTATTCTTTTGCATGGTTGTGCTCATAATCCAACTGGAATAGACCCAACTCCTGAGCAGTGGGCAAAAATTGCGGATCTGATCGAGGAGAAGAACCACATTCCTTTCTTTGACGTTGCTTACCAGGTATTATTCCTAAAGTTCAAATTTTTTTTCTTTTTTTATGGCAAGTGAGATGCTTACTTGTATCTGTGGAATTAGAATTTTATGTTAAGAGTGGCCCAAAGCTTTCATAGTATACATAATTGTAGGAGAATTTCATGATAAATTTTCATATTATATATAGTATGTAAGTTTTTTTTTTTTCAATTACAATGGGCAAGAGCCACCCCAGCCCCTTCATAGTTCCACTTTTGTTTTCTTGGAAAAATTATTCTGTGCGGAGCCGGACGGCGTCTGCAAACCAACCAGAACGCGCCACGTTACATTTTTTGCTCGGTACCACTATGTACCGGATGACGTGGTGCGTTCTGATTAGTCTCCGGACTGTCTGATGTCCGCATAGAATAATTTTTTGCTTTCTTGACGCTTAATGTGCATTATTTTGCGTCTTAGGGATTTGCTAGTGGGAGTCTTGATGCAGATGCATCATCCGTTAGAACATTTGCTTCGCGCGGTCTCGAGCTATTTGTTGCTCAATCTTACAGTAAAAACCTTGGGTTATATTCAGAGAGAATTGGAGCTATCAATGTTGTTTGCTCCTCCCCGGATGCAGCAGCCAGGTACAGCATATGAAATTCTAAATTCCTTATAATGATATTGGTTCATTTTTGTCCAATATGAATATCATAGGGGTTTAACTCAATGAGTGAACAAGTCAAATTTCGAGATATCTGTGACTCAACTTGTCAGTTCTTGAACATGCTTATTTAAAATGTTAATGCATAAAACTTTTTAAATACATTAAAATTCAAGAGTTCATATGCAAAATTTATTAAAAATATTTAAAAGTTCATGTCTTTCTTATTTCAAATGATTTCTTATTATTTTTAATCTCATTTTTTGTATCATTTTATTAGAACAATTGCCTGAATAAAAATTATTTCATCTTTTTTCTCTTAATAAATGAGCAATCTTGTGAGCTCGAGCTCTAGCTTAAACACTATTAATTAATCAAGCTCAAGTTCAAGTCTGAGTCGGCTTCAACTCGATTGAACTCATTTACACATCTAATTCGTCTTCTTTCGCATTGTCACTCTCATTATTTTTGTCATTTCATGACTTTCTATATAAATTTTTTAAACCCTAAACTATGATGATTTAAATTCTATGAAGTATAAAAGTATATCATTTTGTTCCTGAATATATAGGGTGAAGAGCCAGCTGAAAAGGATTGCAAGGCCAATGTATTCGAACCCTCCTGTTCACGGTGCTAGAATTGTTGCCAATGTTGTCGGTGACCCAAATCTTTTCAATGAGTGGAAACAAGAAATGGAGCTCATGGCCGGGCGCATAAAGAATGTTAGAAAAAGACTCTTTGACAATCTCTCTGAGAAAGACAATAATGAGAAGGATTGGTCTTTCATTCTCAGACAAATTGGCATGTTTTCTTACACTGGCTTGAACAAGGCACAGGTAAATTGATATCATTTAGGCTTCGTTTTGGACGGCTTTCTTACTGCTTCTTAAATATGCTTTCTAGTATAAAAATTTTAATTTTTTATTAAAAAACTGCTTTAAGAAGCAGTAAGAAAGTCGTCCCAAATGAAATCTTAGTCTCTAATATAGCTCAATAATAAATAGCTTCTTGATTCAATCTTTTGATTCATATCTAAATTATCATTGTTGCTCTAACTGGCTCAGCTCATGAAATTGTTATATCTTTGACCTTAAGAGCCTAACCTGCTTAATTTTGATTTAGGTTTCGTTTGGGACGGCTTTCTTATTGCTTCTTAAAGCAGCTTTCTAATAAAAAATTTTAATTTTTGTACTACAAAATTACTTTAAGAAGTAGCAAGAAAGCCTCTCAAACAAAGCTTTAATTTCAGAAGATTTTGAGGAAACCGAAAGAACCCAAATTAAAAAAAAAAAAAAACTGAACTCACAAAAATTAATGATGATGATAAAATTGTTAAGACTTGTCATTATAATTTTTTATGTTGTCATGTGAATAGCTGCATTGTTATAAATATTTTTTGTCATATTTTTTTATATTAAGTTATTAACATCCTTTCTTCTCTATGGATCTATATAAACCAAATTTTGAATGATTTTCAAAAAAGTAAAGTTTCTTTCATGATTTAATGGCATAATATGAGCTCTCTTTGTTGCAGAGTGACAATATGACAGACAAGTGGCATGTGTATATGACCAAAGATGGAAGAATATCTTTGGCCGGTTTGTCTCTTGCCAAGTGTGAATATCTTGCTCAGGCCATTATTGACTCATTCTACAAGGTTAGTTGAGGGTGTTCAACATCTAAGTAAGCCTTCGTTTATGACAGATATTTTTATTATTTTTTAAAATAATTTTTTAGTATAAAATAATAAAAAATTTGTACTAAAAAATTACTTTAAAAATCAATAAGAAAGCTATTTCAAACAAAGCCTTCGCATTTGGGATGGTTTTCTTACTGCTTAAAGCAACTTTTTTTACAGAAAAATTTAATTTCTGTATTAATTCAGGTTCATTAGGAGAAATAAAGTGTTTTGCCACATGGTTGTGAAAAATAATATCTTTTAGGTAAAAGATATTGTTAATTAAAAAAATAGTTGAACTTGCAGAACTAATTTCTTTGTTCAATGAAAAGAGTAATATTTAACTATTTTTTTATATTAATGATCTGTTTGGAATAATTTTATCATTATTTCATTTTTTAAATAACAATAATAATCTCATTTTACTATCATTTTTATGTTATTTTTTCATTATTTTTTTAAAATTAGGTTATAAAAATTTAATTTTTTAATCAGAAGTCTTTTTTTTCACAATAAACTTTTAATTAATAAAAAATTAGTGCATCTTAATGCATAATTGCAATGGGTCTGATATTAAGAACTTTTAAGAGAACGTTAGTCAAGAGGTTAAAGGTTAATGCTGATATATTTATGCTCAATGATTAAAGAAAATTATTTTTTAAAAGTTTAAGATTTTATCTGAGTGATCTCTGTTATGAAGTAAAATGCTTTGAGCAAAAAGCATATTGTAAAAAAGCACAGAATAAAAATTATCTTGATATATTTTAATAAGAATTATATGAAGGTATATTTAAAAATTAATTGAATAAGATTAATAGATAATGAAATATCATTTTTATATTATTTCAATCTTAGTGCTAAATATAATAAAATAAAAAGAAGGATCATAATGATTGCTAGTTCATGGTTATTATATCTATCTAAATTTTAGTTTCAAATACTTTGATTAGAATAATTTTTAAATTTAAAGATAAATATAATATAAATTTTATTTAAATATTAAGAATATTGACTTTTTCCCCTTACAGCGCCCACTTAACCACTTAACGAAAGAATTATTCTGTGCAAACATCAGAAGTCATTCGGAGATGTATCAGGACAAGTCACATAACTTGTCTTTTTGTGTATCGGGTGACATGATGCATTCTGATTTGCCACTGAACAGTTCGGTGTCTGCACAGAATAATTTCTCCCGCGTAACACATGGTGCACGTCATTTAAACATAAGATGCCAAATAAGCCTATGAAAATGTCAAAAACAATAATCTTTATCTCTTAAACCAAATTTTTATTAGTAAATAAAGACAAAAAAAAAACATTAAATTTGTCTGAAATAAATGATCACATATGAAATGAGAATAAATTCATATATTTGAGTGCATAAATACAATCACCCACGAAGTAATTACATTTTATTAAACATCAAAATTTTCATCTAAACAATATTTTATTTTATTTTATTTTCAATTTTTTGAAACATCTAAGCCATTAAGAGAAAATCATACTCATATTACATGTATAAGCATCCCATCTAAGACCTCTCATAGCCAAAACTCTCGACCAACATATCAAATGTATATGAATATGATATTTTAATGCGGATATAAAAATATGATAATATAAGGGATGATTCAAATCATCAGATGCATAATTTTCTGAATTATTTTATTTATATATTTAACATCTAAATTAGAATTGCCACATGATCTCATTAGAGAGAAAAAAGGAATGAGAAATTCATGATGAGATCTCAACAGACATAAAGAGAAAAAAAAATCAAGATAAAATCTTGACGGGAAAGATGATCAATGAGATGAGAAATTATTTTGTGCAGAATCCGAACAAGAAGAATCGTTCGGATATGTGAGTGCACTTTGTATATGTTTGTACATAGTGTATACCAAATCAATATACACATTATGTGTACACTTATAATCTAAATGATTCTTCCTATCTGAATTCCGCACATAATAATTTTTTCTATGAGACGGGCGGAGTGTGAAGGAAAAGTAAGATGAGAAAAAGTTGTGATACAATCTCAATGGGAAGAGGATTCATATGACCGTTGATTGTGAAAAAGTGTAAAGAGTTTTTTTTTTAATATTATTTAAAATTTGGAGGTATATTAAATTAAATAATAAAATTTAGATGTTAAATATATAGATAAAATAATTTTGAGTATGATTTATGTAAATACTCAAAATATAAACACAAAAGCATAATGTAATTACCTAGCTACGCCCATCCACCCATACCGTGCTTCTCCTTGGGCTCGGCATTTCGTCAAGCAACTGGCGGGAGTACTTTCTTCCAGAACCAGTGCTTTCTCCAGATAAGCACCATCTCCTCGATCGGAACCCCCTTCGTCTCCGGCAGGAAGAAGAAAACAAAGACGGTCATGATAAGGATCCAGCCGGCGAAGAAGAGGAAGATGCCGAACTTGAAGGAGCAGAGGAGAGAGAGGAATGATTGGGCAATGGCGAAGGTGAAGAAGAGATTGACGGCCACCGTGATGCTCTGACCGGCCGACCGGGTTTCCAGCGGGAAGATCTCGCTCGGCACCGTCCAACCGAGCGGCCCCCATGACCAGCCGAAGGCGGCCACGAAGAGGCAGATGATAACGACGACGGTGATGGAGAAGGGCTTTGAGAGCTGCTTGTCGTCGCCGAATTTCAGGCCTAGGATCAATGCCACTATTGCCTGTAGGTATTAATTCCCTCTTTTTTTTAACTGAGATTTTTTTAGTTGAAAATGGAAATAAAAAATTAGGTTAAATTATTCTTATAAATATGAATTTCCAAATTTAAAAAAAAAATATAAGTTTTATGATTCACTCTATATCCCATATAAAAAAATTAAAATAATCTTATTTTTTAAATGATGAATCATAAATCATAAATCATAAATATTTCTCAATTCTATAATTTTAAAGAAAAAGACTTCTCCCTTAACTGTTGGATCATGAATAGAATTATTTAATTGCAAAATAATTTTGTATAAAGATGAATTTTAAAATTTATTTTAAAATGAATGCAAATACAAATACTTTATTTAATTTTATATTAAATTTTTCTTTAAATAAATATTTTTTTTAGGAGAAAAAAGTTTAAAGATGATGTCTTAGTCAAAATGAAGATGAGTGTAATCAATAAATAACCAATCAATTTTATATTTTCTTCTAAAATCAAATTTAAAAAATTAAAAATTCACTTTAATTAAATTTTATTATAATAATACTGTTCATTTTTTAAATTTAAAACTCATAATTAATTAAATTGTGGTGAAAATATTATTACCCTTTTTTTATTTTTATATAAGTTTTCACTTATTATAAATGAAGCTGTTAGATTTATTTTGAAATAAATATAATAACAATTTTATAATTAATTTTTATATATTACACTGATTTTATAAGCCAAATTTCTTTAAAACAAAAAAAAATAAAGATAATCGATCATAATGTTAAAAAATAGAATATTTTTATATAAACTATATTATAATAATTTTAAAATTAATTAAATTTATATTTAAAATTAATTCTACGCTGAAATTTATATTACACAAATTTTAAATAAAATTTAAATCTTTTTTAATATAATTTATATACGAATATTCTGATATAATTATAAATTTTTATTTTTCTAAATAAATGACAAAAAAAAATTACCTGGCAAACAATCATCTGGATCCCGCCGGCGATAAGCAGCGGCCGTCGGCCCAACCTATCCACCGCGACAATCGAAACCACCGTCGACAGAACCAGCACCGCTCCGGTCACCATCGACGAATAAAGTGAAGCGTTTCCCCCAAACCCCATGCTCTGAAACAACACCGGCGCATAGAAAAGCACGGAATTAATCCCCGTCAGAATCTGAAACGCCGGCATAAATACCGCCAATACCAGCTGGGGCCGATTCCTCTTCTCAAATATGTTTCTGTAAGGGTGTTGGATGGAATTGGCGAGCTCGCTGGCGTCGACCATGTCCTGGAACTCGGCGTCGACGCCATGGGTGCCGCGGATGCGTTGGAGGACGGCGAGGCCGCGCTCGGGGTTTCCGCGTTCGATCAGGGAGTTGGGGGTTTCGGGGAGGAAGAGGCCGGCGGCGGTCATGAGGAGGGCGGGGAAGGCGGCGAGGCCGAGGGAGAGGCGCCAGCCCCACGGGTGGATTTTCTCGGTGGCGAAATTGATCATGTTGGCGGAGAAGATGCCGAGAGTGGTGGCCAGCTGGAACATCATGTTCAGGCCGCCGCGGAGATGGGCCGGAGCCATTTCTGATAAGTACAGTGGCACGGCCTGCTCATAATTATAATTATATTTGTTAAATATTGTATTAAAATATATTAATGGAGTAAAGTGTAAAGATTAAATTAGCAAAATAAATTAGTTAGGAGTTATTTGGTTACAAGTAAGATTTATCAAATTTTAGGAGGAATAAAATCTAAAACATATTGTCATCACAACATTTGAATCTTTATAAATTCTGATAAATTGTTTATTATTTACTTTAAGATTTAAGATTAATGAAAGAAAAAATTTTAAATTATTAAATCTTTTTTAGCAAGTATGAAAAATTATTTTTTAATTAAATTTAAATGAGAATTTGACTCTTAATATTATAAAATGAAGAAATATGATTCATGACTCAACCTCACATAGGGGTGCAAACGAATCAAGTCAAGCTCGAGTCAAGTTAAACTCGAGCCTAGCTTGTCAGTTAGATTGCGAGCTCGACTCGAGCTCGAATGACCTCATCGAACTCGGCTCGAGACAACTAATGCGAGCTCGCGAGGTATAAACTCTCTTCCGGTTCCACCTTATGCGTCATTACTCAAGGTGAAGAAAACTTCTAATTAAAATTCCAAAGAGAAATAAAAATAGAATATAACAAAAAAATAAAAAATTGCAAAATCGAAGCCCTTGCTACAAACTTTGGGAAACTATAGATAATTTTTTTACCAAACGAGAGTAGTTAAGATACAAGAGAGTGAGGACATACACCCACCCCCTCTTACCGTCTCACCGTCTCTGCTCCTCACGCTCATGACTCATAGCAGCCAAGCAAAAACCCTAAAACAGGGAAAATTATTACATCCGGTGTCCGGATTCGTTTGGACACTAATCCAGACACGCCACGTCACCAAAATACATCGGGGTCCAGTATATTGGGATGACGTGGCGCATCTGGATTGGGTGTCCGGACGTCCGGTGACCAGATGTAATAATTCGTCCTAAAACAGCCACTCCTCTTCGCATTCACACTACAGGAAAAAAAACCCCAATTACCTAATGTTACGATTCGGTTCAAGCAGAATAATATTCACGCTTGCAAGCCTGCTGCTGCTCCCTCTCATCCGATTTCTAAATTTCGTTGTTTCGCTTCCGCGCTTCAGTTTGGCTCGCTCACTTCGCTTCCACCTTATTTTCCTATTCGAGCAGCTTGACGAGTACTCGAGTTGGGCTTCGCCTCTACAAACTCAAAAACCTGCTCGCTCTGGAGCTCAAAATTTGATAAACTCAACTCGCGAACTCGCTAACTAATCTTGTTCAAGCCGGCTCATAAGTTGACTTGACTTAGTTGCACCCCTAACCTTACCTAGTTTAATAACTGCTTAATGTTATTATTGAAGTTTTGAATAAAATTTTGATAAATGTTGAATTTAGAATAATGGTTTTAAAAAAATAGAATTAAACTCTTCAAAATTTTGTTTGTTAGTATTTAACTTAAAAACTAAGAGTCTAACCTAAATAAAAATTCTAATAATAACAAAACTCTCATCAAAACTAAAAAAAATGAAATTTGTATGAGATAAATGTCTCATTAGATCGAGTGGGCGTAGAATGATTCACCTGGTTGCCGAAGCCGATGCCGACGCCGAGGAGGATCCGGCCGAGGAGGAGCATGGCGAGGTTCTGAGCCGAGGCATTGAGCGTTGCGCCGGCGATGAAGGAGAGGCCGCCGCAGAGGATGCTGGTGCGGCGGCCACGGTGGCGAGTGACGGGGGAGGCGGCGAGAGAGGCGACGAGTCCGGCGAGGTAGAGAGAGGAGGTGAAGGCGGAGAGGCCTTGGTTGTCGTACTTGCAGTAGTTGTTCTGTGATTTGTTGTTCTTCTTCCTGTACACAACTGGGAAGAATTTCTCTAGAAATGGGTCCATAGATGTCACCCCTCCTGAAAGAGACAGAGTGTTTGATAAATGATGTATTGTCATTATTGAAAATGAATTTGTTCGTAGGCGAAATCAGGACCTTGCTGTGAAGATCGACTAAAAAAACATGAAATCGTAAAACAGAGAGATGGATAGAGAATCAAAGAGAGAGGAGCTCTGGAATTTCTTTATTGCTTTGAAGTGAAGAGCTTAAGATAATTGACTGTTGTGTGTCCTTAGGCTTGCTCTTTGACAACATATTTATAGGTGGAGTTAGAAAAAAAACACAATAAACAACATATCAAATGTATAGATATGAATTAAATAATATGAAATAATATAATGTAATGAAGAAATACTAATTGCAAGCTTTAAATTACATGAGTGATGCATTAAAAGTTTATATTAGTTCTATATGGAATTTAATTTTGTTTATCAATCGGATTGTTCTATTACTTAGGACCTCAGCTCAAATTATTGTGCTTGGGGTTGTGGGGTTTACCCCCCTGCTTCGAAAGCGCTCAAAAAAAAATTTTTTTTTTTCGTATAACACCTTCATGTTGTTTACCCGAGCACCCCAACGCTGATCGATAGAGAGCATAGTGTCGTAATGCTTTAAATTCGGGGCCGCAGTGTTATGTGACACCGCATCGCTATGGGTTTGAGTGTTGTAGTGCTCCAAATTGGCGCTACAGCACTGTGAGGCTAACTAGACAATTTTCTCTCTCGTTTTCTGAAAGGTTGCATCGCTTGGTGTTATTAACTTAACTTTCTCTCATGTTTTGAGTGTGAGAATGGTGTAAGAGAGAAGAAATGTATGTACTTATTTCTATTCATTATCATAGTGGATTTCTTGGTGTGGTGTGGCTCCATGATTTTTACCAGATTTAAACTTTTCCATGTTAAATCCTGACGTCCTATATTTTCAGCTGCTTTTCTATTTTCTTGTTTCTTTTGTTGTGGTGGTTTACTCCTCATCCCCAACCGTTTCCAAATATAAGATGATCTTACATGAATCCATTGATCAATCTAATTTGATATCATTAACTTGTGACTCGGCCTCTTCTTGCTACCTAGGTTAACTCAAGCTCAACACAAGTGATTTGGCATATATGATCATATTTATTTAAGTAAAATTAATCAATTCATACTAAGGACATGAATTGAATTCACTAAGCTGTCGATCAAGAATATTCTTAAATTGTGCATATTTTGAAATCGCCTGATTCCCAAATTTGTTTGAACTAATTCTTAAATAAGGTGTCTAAAAGTTTGGTATGATTTGGCCCTCAATATTAAGCTTAGTTATTAGATTAATTTTAAGTTATATAATGTAAATTTTTAAAGTATATCATTAATACTAAAATAAAATTATTAATATTTTTTCTGAGATAAATATTATGAAGAAAAAAAAATGAAGAAGTGATTATCATTGTCTATACTTAACCACTCATAATTTATTTTGGAAACAACTGATTAAGGTTGCTATCAAGATAATATGTTTAGTAAGCCGGCCCGGCCCGGCCCATACTGATACTGTCAGACCCGAGTACAGAAAATGATCCTAAAATCACAATTCTGAGGGCCCAAGAAGTGCTCTCGTATTCAATGGGCCCCCACCAACTGAATACACATTTATTGATATTTGTCCTTTTCTAATGGAATATACTGACATAGGCATGACAATTCTTTCTCGCCAAATATAAATGGAGATAAAATCAGACTTAGGCTAATCTCCAACCGAATAACTCATTTTCCACTCTAAATTTTAGTAACATTCTAAAATATGAATAAATTAACTCATCTTCAATCCAACTTTATTTTTTAACATCAAAAATATATATATTCTGTATATATTCTTCTTCAAAAAATTTTAAAAAAATTTGTAATTATATCATTTCATTTATTAATATTTCAAATTAGATCTACTCCTAATTCTTTAAATAAAAAAATTTGATAAATTAAAAAATTAAATTAATTACATAATAATATTAATTTTAAAAATGAATAACCTAATTTAAATAAATTAATTACATAAAAAATATATTAATTTTAAAAAAAAGGTGTTTATTAATTATTAATTTTTAAAGTTTAATAATAAAGAAGATACACTTAATAACCGAAGTTTTTTAATCTTCTTAAAAATATTGGCATCGCAATATTCACCTCACGAAATTGTTGTGGGTTTGGTGTTTGATTGGACAACATACGCCATAAATAGATTTAAATGTCTCCCCAAAAAATAAACTTACGTATGTATTTAGAGTGTGAATTTGACTTAGTTGATCTAAATATCTCACACAAAAAATAAACTTACCCAAATAAAATAACGACATAACAATTAGGATATTATACCCAAAAAATATTAAACCAACAACTCTTAATTTAACATTATACGAATGTGTTATTTATAGGGGTGTCAATATTTAACAAGACCCAAAACCCAATACGAAAAATTTCGGGATCGGGTCAACTCGTTTATCAGACGGGTCGGTTTTGGTTCAAAAATGCGACCCGTTTCTAAAATCGGATCGGCTTCAGGTTGACTTGAAAACCCGAAATCAAACCAAAGTTGAATCGAGTCCGGGTCCACTAGCCTTCTGTGCAAACTGCCATGGGACTCGCCCGGCCTTGCCCACTAGCACGCTACACGACTCAACCCTCAACCTTCACCTAATCACCTCTCGGCTCTCACACCGTTGGACATCACGGACCCAGCCGCACACGCCTAACCCGCTAGAACGGCACGGTGGCAATCAACACGTGTCGCATAACCGAACAAACGAACACGCGAACCGGGCTGGCAGGTCAATTCGGGTTGACATGAACCCTAACTATTTCCATAATCGGGTCAGGTTCGGGTCATATCAATTGATAGTGGATTAAGTTCAGGTTAGACTCGAACCCAACCCGATGAATGGTTTTGACACCCCTAGTTATTCATTTGAGTTGAAGAAGATGATTATAAAATATAAAAACATAGTTGAAGACAATCTCATGATGTATGGATGAAGGATAATGGCGTTAATGTAAAGTAATGACTAGCGTCTGATTGAGTGCAACGGCACGGGTTTGCCTAGGTTTATCGGATGATGATTTCTGATTTTATAATTAATCGCTTTCATGTGCAAGACATTCATCGTAGCTTTTTAAAACGGCTTTTTAATTTAAAAAAAAAATTCAAAATTTTTTTATGGTAAAAAATTATTTTAAAAAATAACAAAAAACTGTCCAAACGAAGCCAAATGTGGTCAAAATCATGTGATTTTGATATCATTTGATTCATCTCATGGAACACTATTTGATTGGAAATTGCTAAATCAAACAGTGATCTCATCTCATCAATCTTTATAAAATTGTTATTATTTAAAAAAAAACAATTGTTAAAAATATATTAAATTATTAATCAGATATAAAAGCTAAATAATGCACAGTTTGATTTGAAAATTTTGAAAGAAAGGAAATAAATAGAAAATGGAAATGATTTAATAATTAAATTAATTTAATTTTCTTTATTATTTGTTCAATAATTTTTTTATATTTGGATTTGAGGCTGAAAAAAATATTCTAAAACAATAAATTTTATTTTCCTAATTTTTCACTAAAATTAAATAAGAAATTGGAAAAGTAAAAGACATTTGTAAATATTTCCTATATAGAACCAAACACTAATATTAAACTGTAAGACAATTGCGTTCCATCTAAACCATCGCTCCAATAAAATTTAGATAGGAAGGTTCTCAATAAAAGTATCAGTTTAAAGCCTTCTGAGTGAGACAAATGGATTTCTTCCTTGCCTTAAGCAATCTTTTTAATAGGATGGTTGACCTTTTTTATCACAAATATTTAATAAACATTTTTTTTAATTGACAAGAGGACCACAAATACTTCTTTTTTTAGATTATTTTTTGGTTCAACCCGTAACCAATTCGGGTCAATGGGTCAGGTTTGGATCAACCCATTTACACCTGGGTCAACTCGAGTTGGACCCAAACCTAACCCATTGACACGAATTGACACCCCTAATTTTTTTTATTTTTTATAGACTTTCTAACATACCCCTAAGGGTGTCAATTTTTGACACGACCCGAATCCGACCCGGAAAAATCCAGGTTAGGGTCAACTCGAACCCGAAACGGGTCAGGTTCAAGTTGACCCAGCAACACTAAATTGACATGAAAACTCCTATTTGACTCGGAAACTCGAGATTGATCTGTTTTTTACCCGATTTTGACCCGAAAATTGAAGATTGGCCCGATTTTTGACCCGAAAACAAGCAATTTTAGGTCAACTTCGGGTCATTCGTGTCGGGTCGGGTTGACCCGGACCCGAATCAGGTCGGGTTCGGGTCTGGAAACCTGTCACGTTTTTAAAAAACGGATCGGTTCGGGTTGACCCAAATAGTGCCGGGCAGTTCCGGGTTCGACCTGAACCTAACCCGTTGACCCGAATTGACACCCCTACATACCCCTAACCTCAATCTTAAAGTTGGGCTCAATCTTATGGCTCATTACTTGTCCTAATTTATTATAATTTGATATAATTTAAAATTAATTAGATACCTTAATGACCCAGTAATACTTTTGAGTGTGATAAAGAACAACTACCTGTGTGGCTGTGTGTGAGAGAGAGAGAGCGAGCGGACTTTTAGTCCCACAAGACAATTCTTCTATCTGCTCCAGGAAACTCAGACTAGTGATGTTTTATTGTTTTCTAAAAGCTTGATGTGATTTGTTTGACTTATTTCATATAAAATTACAATAAATTAGAAGTTAATTGAAACTAATTAGATCGCTGCTATAATTTATAATTGATAGTTAGTGATCTGTAAATAATATTAAAATATATCAAAAATTTGATCAAGAAAACTTTTAAATCTATTGAATATAATTTAAAATAATTGTGATATAAATGACACTAATCATAAAGAAAATCTAAAGAGTTCAATGAATCCTTAGAACTTGATCAAAATATGCGGATACAACAATTTTCCTAACACTACATATCGAATAAATTGTATGTCTTAATAGATAGATAGCTGGAAAAAAAAAATCTAGAATCCAATGATTAGGAAAAGGGAAGATAAGGGAGATTTCTGAGATCTGAGGTTAAAAAGGTCAGTGAAAGAGGGGAAATGGTTCGCTATCGCCGAAATCGATTGCGATCGAAGCAAACTAATCGAATAGATGATAAGGAAATTCTAATGGCGGGAAGAGAAGGGAATTTACTTACCGGAGATGCCGATGTCGTAGCCGAAGATAGATCCGCCGACGGCGGCGATGAGGCATGTTGTGACGACGTACGGCGTGACCCTTCCCTTATAGAGCTGAGCCCTCTCTATAGAAACACCGGTCGGAGCTGGCGCCGCCCCTCCTCCGGCCATCTCCGATCGCTGCGGCCGAAGCTAATTTTTCCTCTTTTTTTTCGGGTAGTTAATTCGCCGGAGACGAGCTGCTGCTCCGCTTGCTTTGAAGTTTAGTCCTTCACCTCTCTGCTGTATCTGTACCTCTTAGATTTATTTATATATAGCAAACGATAAGGATTCGCACCCGCGCCGAAGATGCGAGGGATGGCCCACCAATGTCCAATTACCTGCTGAGTCCGGACGTTACATACTATTTATATAGAGGGTGTACATTACAATCCGGACCTTCAGACGTAATAAATTCTTGTTCATAAGTAAGCTTTTTGAATTGGAAAAATTATTAGGTGGAGAGTGCTCACCATTTTTATAAGCACTAGGTATCGAGTACGAATACCGCTAGGTATTCAATGGTTGTGCGGATGGTTCTCCATGTCCGCACATAATCTCTCTTCGAATGGATAATAGATTTGAAATTCTATTTGAGTATGAAATGACCCACTATTTTTTTATAATTGAGTAAAACTTGAACCTATGGTCTATTTGACTAGGTTCAATTTGAAGATCTCAATGAAATTATTGAAGAATGGTAAACAATTATTAAAAATTAAATAACAAGCCTCACATATAATCTTCAAATTTTAAAAGGTATGATGGAATAGATAAGAAATTAATTGCAACTCTTAATAGTTAGGAGCCAAGCTCCACTTGTTGTACGCATTGAACCTCGCTTTCTTGCTCACCATAGAGTTGAAAAGATCAATAGGATGCATCAAATATATATGTATATATATTATTGTTTTAAAATTAGTTTTTAAATATATTTTAATTTAAAAGAGCTACTTGACAAGATTATGAGCCAAGCCTAGCTGAGTTAATTCGAGCTCGAGTTCTTATAATATGCGAGCTCGACTATAGGCTCAAGCTCGATGAGCTCGACTCATGAGCACGTTAATGAGTCGAGTTCAAGCAGGCTCATGAGTCCGCTCGGCTCATTTATACCTCTAATCAAGACTGTTCTCTTAGTCGAGGTAAAGACAACATAACATGCATGAAGAAGGCCAATAAAAAAAAATTAGGTGAAAAGTATCTCTATAATTCTCATATGATCTTGTAGTTTGAAATATTTCAAATGAGTAAAATTGAGGGATATTTATAAAAATAGAGGAGTTCTTGTAGTTCTTATATAAAATATATCATGATAGATCATGCTCATATGACCGAGGGTGAGGTTGGCTTAGGTGGCCATTTATGATGGTCCAATGACAGCCTTCACCATAAATGTTATTGATCAACGAGCCCAATATATCGTAATTTAAATCTCTAGCTTGATGATGAGTCTAATTGAGTGAAATAATAGAATTATTGTAGAAGATTTGGCATGAATAATTCTAACTTCTAAGAATGATCATAAGTCAAATTCACGATCGCAAAAAAGTTGGTAATAGACCGCTATTTTTATATCAAAATGTCCATCTCCTCAAAGGCAATCATTCATCATAAAGAGGAACTAATTACGTGTAATTTGGGATGACAACAACTTTTTGTAAAGAAGATTATAAACCTAGAGTAACTTTCTTTAAAGCTACTATAAAAACAACATCCTTTTATAAAAATTTCTTTAAAATAAGGATAAAATAGTAGTCAAACAGAATTATGATTCCGATATGAAAAGCAAAGCAATAAGATAAATTTTCTCAAACAAAGGCTAAGGGTCTGTTTGGGGCGGCTGTTGTGTTTTATAAAGTTTGTTGTGAAGTTGATGTAGAGAACGCAACTAAGCTATTATGATGGTAAAAAATAGCTTTTCATCATAAAAAATTATAAAAAATAGTTAAAAAATACTAAGAAAATCATTAGCCAAATAAAATTATAATTACTGCTGAAAAATAAAGCAACAACAAGGCTGTCTCAAATGAACCCTTAATCTAAAGACAAAAAGATAAAATCTCCTCTAAACTAAATGAAGTAATAAAAAGGATAAATTTTGTATTATAGAATTATAAATAAAATACTTAAATTATTATAATTCTATAAAAAAAAAAAACAAAGAATCATTTCCAATCACCCTTCATTCCACCATTCTCATTATTTCTTCTTTGACCAGCTGGCTTCCACTTTGCTTTGATTCAACAAATCTTCCACACAAAAAAAAAAAAAAAAAAAAAAAAAAAAAAAATTATATTCTCTATTAGTTCTTTATCTGGAATTACTGTTCATCTTCTTCCCTGCTTTTCTCTGGTAAGTTTCTACACCAAACATCATTGTTTATTCTATATTTGATCAATCCATCAAATTTTTCTCAAACCTTACAATAACTCCTCTTCATAAAAATAAAAGGCAATATATGTCAAACTCACAAGTATTAAAGAAAACTACATAAACATAATAATAATTTTTTATTTTTTATTATGTACTTTTCTATATATATTATAATTATTAAATAGAATTAGTTATTGAAGAAAATTACTATGAAAACTACTTAAATTTAATTTGAGTTTTGTGAAAGAATGTATTGCTAAAAAATCATTTAAATTACATCTCAAATATTTTTTAAAAAAGATTTATTATTTTAAAAGTTAAATTAATCTTGATTAGCTGCCAATTGTCTCCGTCGTTGACATCGCTGCCACCATAGGCTACCATCGTTCGTTGATTATGACGAATATTCTTGTGGTGAACTTATTTATTATTTTAAAAATAAAATTAACACATATTAAATATATAAAATATATTTTTATTTAAAAAACATAAATAAAACCAAATAAAATATAAATAATCTCAAATGGCTCCTAATCAAACTATTTTTTTAAATAATAATAAAAATTGATGTAAAATATACCCTTAATTGTTTGAATTGAAACTTAGGCAACCTGTGATAGATCTAATTCAAGCCCAAATAATAATGAGGTAAATTTTCAATTATTCAAGTCAACCCGAATATAATCAAAATAATAATCGAATGTGTAATTTCAATCTCATCAACCTAAGGCTTCATTTGGGACTGCTTTCTTACTTTTAAGACTCCAACTTTTTAAGCAATTATTTTTTTTAAAATAATGAGAAATGTAAAAAGAAAATTCAAAAAGCAACTATTTTATAATTGCTTTAAGAAATTATTTTATCTATTATTGATTTACAAAATAATAAAAAATCTCTCTCAAAAGAAGCCTAATGTTCCATTTGGGATGACAACAACTTTTTATAAAAATTGTTATAAAATT